CAACGCTAGCCTTCGGTCAGGGTGACCTCAGTACAGGCTACTGTGACCTGACTTCAGACCTATCCCTAATCCCAGGAACACAAAAATGACCAACTGAGGACCATCATGTAAATACACCAATGTGTCACATTTCATTATTCCAAGAAAAAGTTCCACTAAAGCTGGGACTAGTGGAGAGGACTGGACCAGTTTGGCTGCACAACTTTGTTGGCTGTATTTGAAAGGAATCAGATTTCAGTCCTCAGACCTGCAGGTCGTAACCTGCTGTGAAAAACCTCTCCCCAAATTGGACTAGAAAGGATTTCCATTTTGGAAACACAGCTTCAGTAGAGTTTAAGCCTAAAAACGGAGGATTTTGATGTTTTTGTGAAATAGATTTTTCTAATTTATCTCATCTTCTAAGACCAAAACTGCTCATTTGTTCAACTCTGACTCCTTCTAATTTATCTCATCTTCTAAGACCATAACATTTGTTCAACTCTGACTCATAGAAAAGGACAACGAAGGAGGAAAAGGGAGCTCTGATTTGAATGATCTCAGTGCAGTGAAAACACCGGCAGTTTTTTAGTGGAAAATAGTTCCTGGTACTAAAAGGCCGACATGAAAGCCCTTTTAAAGAACCCATTCAGGACTAATGCTGTGACAGTGGAACTGTACTGATGGTGACACGGACACAGACAGAACCACAGACTGAATGCTGTGTGAAGAGAGATGGATCATTTGGATTAAGTCCACGTGGCTGCACAGACCACAGACACCGGAGGAGACAGAGGAGACAGTGAGGGGGAAGTCAAGGGACGGTCAAATAAAGAGACAACGTAGAGACTTCTGACCTACAATACACACAAAGCTGCCTCTTAAATTAGGGGTCACCGTTGAGGTGCCCCGGGGGAGTGCACTGATACATGAAAAGGGGCTGCAGTTTCTTCATGCAGAACTCCATCCATGTTTGGATGGAAGGGCGGAGCTGAGGAAGTGGAAGGATTAACACGACATGTCAACTGGATCAAAGAAATGGAAAATGACACGGACGTGGAGCGGAGTCGGGAACTGGTGCAGTCTGAAATAAGTCAACGGAAAAATTAGGTTTTTTTCACGCTACTATGACATCATTAAATATCTCCTGCAACAGTATCTCAATTTCAGTTGATGCAGATTGTCTTCAATTGACAGCACATATAAAAAGTACGAAGTAAGAAGAGAAGTAACCCATTACCCTAACTCAACTAATCCTAAT